CAAGTCAGTACAGCTGAAACGATATGAAGTGTTGGTTGCTGAATCCCAATGCCAGAGAAATATCTTGTCCAGACCTTAAAGCAAGATTGGAACAAGAGATAAATATAGGAATGTGTATTTGAAGTTTTTCACCAAATTTTTAAAAAATTAAGCATAATATTTGGAAGAGGGAAACAATAAATATATCACTTGGGAGAACTATGTAGACATTTTCCCTTCATAAATAATGAATTATATTAATTTACTCATTCCACAAACATGCTTTTCAGTACTTACATGCTAGATACTGACCTAGGAGATGGGGATAGTGATAACTTGCAATATCCCTGTGGAGCTTACAATCTAATAATGAATTACCATTTGGAAATAAAATTCTTACAGATGAATACCTTAAAAATTGAGGTTATTTCCTTAATAATGATCATAGAGGCATATATTATTTCTAAATGGAAGAGTAACACTCCTTGTTGTCCTGCCCCTTCCAACTGTCTTCCAGTGCTAAAAGATGTATACAGAAACATGATCAACCAGATGTATATGTGAGTAGTGCCTTAGAGTGTCATATCTGTAAAGCTTCTCTGGGAATTCCTTACTTCCCACCATATCATGCAGTATGAATCCAGCATGAGGAAATTTTGAATCTTAGACAAATGAAACACACTTTGCCTCAGATATAATAACTACATAGCCCATCCAATTTTTATTATTGTTTTAGATGTAGACCTCTTTGATATGAAGGACAGCAATGAACCTTATGACTATAAATTCGTGAAATGGATGATTAAAAATAAGGTAATGTTTATTGGCTTTTGCAATATTGTGCTGTATGTTATAGTAAATTACGAAGGAAACCTGTTGACATGCCTTGAAAAATGTGAGCTGTAGTTTTATTCCCTGATATTCTACTCACAGTTATTTGGAAGATTTTATTTATTTATTTATTTTATTTTGGGCCACATTATGCGGTTTACAGGATCTTAATTCTGTGACCAAGGATTGAACCTATGCCCTTGGCAGTGAAAGCAGAGAATCCTAACCATTGGTTCACCAGAGAATTCTCTGGAGGATTTTAAAAATACATTTCTTTTGGAAATTATTGTGAATATTTGGAAGTATCTATTTGTTTTTAATGTTTGTGCTCTAAAAATTAATATTTAAAGTGTAAGTAGTTTTCATATTTTTCCTATTTGTTTTTCAGAAACTGTCAGCTATCCCAGTTTCAGCATTCTGTAATGCAGAGACCAAATTACAGTTTGAAAAATTTGTGCGATTTTGCTTCATTAAAGTAAGTTCCCTGTTCTACACATTTATAATGTCCTTCCTTCTGGTTTATAAAGCACCATTTTTTTTTTCTATTGCTAGGCATGATGTGTTCATATGCAGTTTTTAAGTTTTGGCTTGCTACCATAAAATTACCAGAACAAAAACTCAGCACTTTTTGAAGCTGAGTTTATTGGATTACAATATAATTAGATTCCTTACCTGTAACATTAAAGTATCCAGACACATGTGAAGACACAAGAAAATGCAACCTTTAATGAAAAAGAAAAAAATGTGACTTCTACACAGTCAATAGAAACAGATCTTAAGGGTTACTCATATGTAGGAATTAGTAGACAAGGACTTTAAAGCAGATATTATAAATGTGAAGATATGGTCATAATGAGCAACTAGATTAAAGCAATTAAAAAGAGAACCAAATGGAACTTAAAGAATTTTGAAATGTAATACTTGGTGTGAAAAATATATAGTCGTAACATACAGAAGATTGAGGATGTGAGAAAAAAAAGTGTCCACCTTAATACAGATCCATAGAAATCATCCAGTCTGAAAAAAGAGGGAAAAATTATTTTTGAAAAATAGACAGAGCCTCAGTGTCAATGTCAAGTAATAATATACATGTAACTGGAGTATCCAAAAAAAAAAGAGAGAGAATGTGGCAGAAAAAAATATTTTTTAAAAGGACTATATTTCCCTATATTTGGTGAATAGCAATTTAGAGATCTAAAAATTCAGTGAACCACACAGGATACAAATAAAATCACAACTTGGCACATCATAATTAAACTGCTGAAAGCTATAGATAATGATAAGATCTTGAAAGCAGCCAGAGAAAAACTACACTTCACATGCATGGGAGTAAAGATATGAATGTTGACTAATTTCTTATCAGGAACAGTAGAGACCAGATTACAATGAAGTGGCACCTTTAAAGTGCTGACATATTCTATATCCAGGAAAATATCCTTTTACACTGAAAACAAAATATACATCCCTGATAAATGAAAGCTAAGAGAATTCAGCACCATCAGATCTGTGCTAAAAGATCATCTGAATGTATTGTTGCTATTTTTAAGATGTTATCACTACTGAAAACAATCTTATCAAAATTAAGGCACTCTCTATACCAACACACTCATCTATAAGTCTGGTCAGAATGATGTAAACACTGTTTTCAACTTTTAGAGACACCATATAGACAAACTATGGGAGACTTATTTAGAATAGAATATAAATTTTAACAATCTAACAATGTCAACATTTAATTATCTGAAATGTAGAAGAAAGGGTAAGGCCATTAATACTTGCATCTTATAGTGGATTTATAGAGGTATAAATATATATTATTTGAAGTTATAAGCAGAACTAATAGAACAAAAAAGTAACATAAGACTTCCAGTTTTAGAAATGGTCAACAGGCCTTCTCCCATTCTCTTCTTGGAAATTATTTTTTAAAAAGAACAGCTAGGAAAATGGAAAATAAATTCCAAATCCACCAGGAAATGAGGAAGAGTTGCCAAATACAGTGAAGGATATGGCAGAGGGAAGACACAGAGAAAGGCTCCTGCTTCTACGTCCTAACAGACAGAGCCAGTAGGTAGCCTATTCATTATCCAGAGCAGCAGGAACAGTAAGGGCACTGAGAGTAGAAACTTCTCCAGACCCATTTGGCAGCGTGGACAAGGCAGAGTAGAAACGTACGGTCATGTCATCTAGTACCTATGAGAACCAAGTAGGAAGAAAGGGCTATAGATTTACTCTTTCCTCTCATTTTTGCTAAAGCTGTGTTGAGGCAAAGTGGATACATTAAATTGGAGGGAGACAGTTACATTAGTTAAAAAGAAATAAAGTCAAAAAGAACTCCCCTTCACTGAACTCTCCATCAATCATATTTAACTTTACTGTGAGCCAAAAATAATTTCTACTCCCTTCTAGTTCTTTCCTGTCTCCTCCTTTATACAAATCTGCAAATACATGTTCAAATCATAGAGCCAGCAACTAGCTTACTCATTACCCAGGACAATAGGAACCATAATTGTGCTGGCTGTGGGAGCTTACAAAGAGAATTCACCCAAAAATGAGCAATAAAAAGGACCCGACTATGAATCTACAAAGATGCTATTAAGGAGAAGGAGAAAAATATAATGAAAAATAAGTATCAGAGAATATTCAACAACAACAACAAAAAACCAAAACCAAAAAAGAACTGTTGCCACAGAGCAAGTAAAAAGTGTTATATTTCAAATTCAAAACATTTAAAACAAGAGTTAACAGCAGAAGTTTTTTAAAATTCAGGGAAGCTATAGTAAGATAATATAAGAAGATGAAATGGTTGCTGTCAAGAGATCAGGTAAGATGTTGAAGGAGAAAAAATATAGCTATTGATAACAGTAGTGACATTGGAAGCAGCATAGAGAACACTAAATTCTTCTGTAAGTACACTGAGGATTGAGAAAAGTGGGTGAAAAGAAGTGAAGGGAACAAAGAATTTCTTTTTTTTTTTGGGGGGGGGGGGGGCTATGCCGTACAGCTTGTAGGATCTTAGTTCCCTGACCAGGAATTGAACTTGGGCCCTCAGCAGTGAAAGCATGGAGTCCTAAGGAGTGGGCTGCCAGGGAATTCCCAGGAACAAAGAGTTTTTAAATGTTAGAAAAAGTATAAATGTGGAAGACAAATGATATATCTAGAGTTCCTGGAGGAGTGGAGGGTAGGGGTGAAGGGGGCAGAACAAGTAGAATTGGGAAAGAATTTTATAGCTTTAAGAATCCTTTCCATTTGAAACAAGGAGGGAAATGGCTTGTCTCAGGAATGTCACAGAAAAACACTGAGATGTACCTTGTTTAATATATTGGGCTTTATAAATGATTCTTTGGTCCCTACACAAGGTGATCAAGGCCTCCATGGAGACAGGAGAGGAGGAATATCAGTGTAGACTCACCTTTGAGCATTCAATATTGGAAGATGGTGGAGCAACACCCAGCCCCTAAGGAAAGCTGACATGCCTAACCCAACTGCTTGGAAAAGCAAAAAATAAAAGGAGGGCAAAGCATGCCAAGAAAGTGGAAACTGAAAGAAAGCAGGGTGAATTTTAGGACAGAACAAGCCAAAGGCAGCACTTTACGGTGGCTATTAGTAAAATCCTCAGTAGCTGTCAAATATATAAAAGGATACAGCATCTCAATAATACAACAAATGAAAAATAAAACTGCCCAAAAAAAAGAAAAAGAAAACTGCCATGAAATTTTATATTATCTGTTAGATTGGAAATAACCAAAACAACTGGAAAGTTCCCTAAGATACTCTCATGCATTGATTGAGAGTACAAGTATAATTTGTAAAACCTCTATGGGGTTAGTTTGAAAATTATCTAAATGTAAATGCACATGTCTTTTGGCCCACCAGTTCTGCTTGTAGGATTTTTTTCTGTGGATTTACTTGCATATTGAAGGTCTGTATTCAAGGATTTTCAGGGAAGCATTGTTTGTACTATCAAAGAGTTATAATACTGTTCTCTTGAAATATCCCACCCAGCATCGAAACATGTATATTATCTAGGGTGAAACAGATCACCAGCCCAGGTTGGGTGCATGAGACAAGTGCTCGGGCCTGGTGCACTGGGAAGACCCAGAGGGATCGGGTGGAGAGGGAGGTGGGAGGGGGGACCGGGATGGGGAATACATGTAAATCCATGGCTAATTCATGTCAATATATGACAAAAACCACTGCAATGATGTAAAGTAATTAGCCTCCAACTAATAAAAATAAATGGGAAAAAAAAAAGAGTTATAATAGACAACCGCAGTACTCACCAGTGCAGCTTGCTTGAATAAATTATGGTACATTCACATACCTAAACGAGTGAAGCAGCTCTGTGGAGTGCTGAGAATAAGTGAAAAGCAAGGAGCAGATTAGTTTGTGAGGAACCATATCATTTACATAAAAAGGAAAAGAAGGAAGGGAAGGAGAAGAAGCTTTTAAATGCCTCAACTGTCTCTCTGGAAGGATACATAATAAAATCCAGTGTTGCTTCTGGGGAGGAAAACTGAATGGCTGAGAGGCATGGGTGAGAGCCTGGGTTACTTAAAGAAATATATGTTTAAATAGTCTCAGTAAATAAGTTTTGAAACCTGTTTTTCCAAACAATTGTAGAGCAAGTTCCTAACTTAATTATTGATGCCTCTGTTACTGCCAAATATCTTATTATGTATTCTCCATTATACAACATTCTATAATATAACCATCAACATCATGAACTTAAGAGTGCTATATTATTCTAATTCTCAGATCCAATTCAGGTTTCATTGATTGTCCCAATAATGTCTTTTTTTTATCGCAAGCAAATAAATAAATAAAATCCAGGTCACAATTGTATCAATCAACCAGTCATCAGTCAGTCAGTCCAAGCCAGAATTGTGCGTTGCATTAAGTTGTCATGTCTTCTTCAAGCTGGGAAGTTTCCTCAGATTTCCTTGATTTTCATAATCTTGATACTTTTGAAAATTATTGACCAATTCTTTTGAAGAAAGTCCCTCAACGTTTGTTTTACATTTACTCATGGATAGATTCAGGTTATGCACTTTTGGTAGAAACCACAGAAGTGATATTTTGTTCATTTTGCATCCTATCAGATAGCATGTGATTTTAGTTTTATCTACAATTGGTGATGTTAAGTTTAATCATTTTATTGAGGTGGTGTCTGCCAGGCTTCTCTACTGTAAAGTTTCACTGTTTGCTTGATAAATAATGAATGTTTTGTGGTGAAGTACTTTAAACTATGAAAATATTCCATATCACATCTAATAATTTATTCATTTAACCATTCATATATGTAAGGACTCATAAATTTTTGTTTTTTTCAGTGGGTTAAAATTTATTATTATTATTACTTATTTCAATGCTCAAATTTTCCAAAATTTGGCCATTAGGAGCCCCGTTAAGCTGGTCTCTGTTTCCTTTGACTTGTCTCCCATCATTTTTTGAGCACTTTCTTACTTTCTGGCATTTCAAGATGCAGTAGGTTCACTTTGTCATTGTCCAACTCAACCTGAAATCAACTTTTACTGGAGAATGGTATTAAGAAACCAAGATCTGGTCATGACAAGTGCTCATTGGGGTATTAGTATTCCCAGGCCCTCCCAGAAGACAGAGATAGGGAACATGTAAATGTATGTCCATACTTTCTATGTCTATCTATTCTACTTATTCCTATGTCTATCTAAATACATTGAAACCACCTCCTAGTTTATTCCAGCTTTCTCCCTATATATGTTAGTCAGTCCTTTCTTTGACAGTATTGACAGTGAAAACACCTAGCTCATCATTTAACCACTTCTTTAATCAGGACCTCTGCGTGTGACCAGTCTCTGTCAGTGCTACTGCCCCTCCACCCACCACCCCGACAGGCACCCTTTATCCTACTCAGGCTTTGACATTTTTACCAGTCTACCACCCCTGTCCCTTGTATGGTCACCATCCTCACCTCACCTGAGCTTCAGCACCATGTGCTGACCTGCTTCCATCACCTTCCTGCAGAGATACCCTCCTCTGAGTCTCCACCACCACACACAAAGCCACCACTGTCACCCGCTGCATGGAAGCGCCCCTCTTCCCTTACAGGCTCTGACGCTCCGTACCCGTCTGCGTTGGCAGATGCCTGCCTCATCCCCTCCAGGCTGCATGCTGCCTGGAACTACCCTGCCATGCAGATGCCTTGCTTACTTACCCCCTCGATTCTGACGCCCTATTCCTGACCAGTGCCACCACTGTCTTCACCACCACCTCATGCCCCGCTGCTGGAAGGTCTTCTTACTTCACTCCGGCTGGAGCATCCTGCGCCAGGCTGCTGAGGCTCTCCCAGCCCCATGCGTGCTCTCCTGTTTCCCTCAGCCCCACCGAACGGCTTTGGAGTAAGTCGTTCTGTAGAGATGGAAGAGAAAGGAAAAGAGTGGGGAGAGCAAGAGGAAGTTTATCCATCAATTTAACTTTATATCATATGTACATATTACCTATTCAAAAAACAAATAAATTGTATCCTTACAGTTGGCCCTCTCACTGTGGTGTTAGGAGCTTATAACTGTGAGACTTCAATAGGAGGGAGCAGAGTAGTGTGAAAGAACCAATTTATCCTCATTCAGAGCAGAGAATGGTAAACATTGTCTGAAGTTGATAAATTAAAAAACTAGGAGCATACATTATTCAGATTTTGTTGGTAATCACTAGAACTAAAATCAAAATTGCCATAGGAAGTTGACTTAGAGGATGATAGGGGTAGTTGAAAGGCACGAGAAGGGAAGAAACAGATGATTATTTTTCAGTGTAAACTCTTCTGTATTCTTTGACTTTTTTCTGTAGTTGTGTATTAATTTATTACTGTAGTCTCACTCCGCCTGGCATCCTCTTTGTTGGGAGCTAAGGGAGGGGTTTCCTTTTGTTGTCTACACGGCTCTGTGAAAGAAGTGTGTGATTTTGTGCTCTTCCTACACAAGTGAACCAAACAGTAAATAAGGATCTCATCAGTACATCCTTCAGGCCCTCCTCCTGCATCAGTGTTATTTATAAGTCTGAGTCTCTGGCAGTGAGGGCGTCCACACTGACAGACATGGTTTTGGCTGGGATTAGGTTAAGCTGTTTTCAGACTGAGCTGTATATACAGATTATTGATCATTTTCTTGGTAATGTTCCTTGGCCCCATACTAGTTAATTTGTAGAGTTCTTTTGGTGTCAGGATAGTAGTAATAAAGTGCTCTGAACCAGCGGCCAGCATCACAAAACAGTATAATGTAATGATTGCTGTTGACACTTCTATAGCTCCCCTAACATTGAATTCTTATGAGGTTCATACACTTCTCTAGCCTGATAGCAATGGAATAATAGCATTATAAATATTCAGCCTGTTTGATTTGCTGCTAGGCTCCTAAAAGAGCTTGTGACTTGTGTATTTGGCCACCAAGGCAAAGGATGTTGCTGTAGATGCCATTTCCCAGTTTTTGTGTTCTTGCTAAGGTTAAATGGTTTAAAATGGGGTAGAACTTCCAGTGACACTACTCAAGGTATCCCCCATCCCCATGCCATGCTGTTGGACTCTGTCTCAGCTACAGAGGCCGAGGACCAGCTAAAGCCTGGCTCAGGTTATCAGGGGTTGAGGACCACTCAGTTCCCAAATCACTACATGACTCTTACAGATGGACTGACTTTGGTATACTGTTTGTATTTAAATCTTTACTTCGTCTTGAATTTATTTTGATTTGTAATGATAACTATTTCATTAATTTACAGAAAGACAGTACATTGGATGCTGCTGAAGAAATCATCAAGGCGTGGAGTAGACAGAACTCTTGATACATACAGAGTGTGTTGTTTCTATTCAGTGACCTAATGTAAAATTACTTGATGCTGCCACTTGCTAGATATTGAAAAGAAAATCTTTCAATACAAATAAAATTTAAAGGAACATTTCCATTGATAACCTCACCCCTAACAATATTCTGGAGATCTTTTTTTTTTCTTTTGCTGAACTGTATTAAAACAGCTTCTGTTTCCTCATAACAGTGAAATAAAAATTACACCTACTTTTATTTATATGACTTCCCTGGTGGCTCAGACGGTGAAGTGTCTCCCTACAATGCAGGAGACCTGGGTTCGATCCCTGGGTCGGGAAGATCCCCTGGAGAAGGAAATGGCAACCCACTCCAGTACTCTTGCCTGGAAAATCCCGTGGATGGAGAAGCCTGGTAGGCTACCGTCCATGGGGACACAAAGAGTTGGACACAACTGAGCGACTTCACTTTCACTTTATATGAAGTTTGTGAGTTGTTGTTTGTGAGAGTGAAATGGACTGATGTTTGTAAAGCCTGCCAGACAATAAGGGCTCACATACTATTGGCCAGTTTCACTTCTCTGCCATTGCGTAAAAACTCTTGGCTAATTACAGGTCCTTCAACTTCATATTTTTGCTTGATCTCTACCCACCTATAGTTCCTTCCCCTCATTTACTAATGGTTTTAAACTTTGTTCATACTTTTGCCTGTTGCTTACAAGTACTGCCATCATCTGGGGCAGCTTTAGGGTCCACATGGATTATTACCTAGACTTTTGGTACTCCCCTCTGGTGATATTTATTTCCATTTCACTCTCCACTTCAGCCACCCACTCCTTTGGGCATACTCTAAACCTTTCATCATTCCAGGCTGTTCCATCTTTGAGATAATAAGTTAATCATCTCACACTGTAACCACCTATTCCTGCAGTAAATATCACCACCCCCCACTATTTCCCTCTCTCTTTCTCTCAGCTTCTTTCAAAACAGCACTTTAAACTATCATTTCAAATCCACTACTACTCAAATACTGGTCTATGGCCCTCTGACATCAGAATCAACTAGGATCGTTGTTGAAAATAAATTTTGGTCTTCAGCCCAGACCTACTGAATAATTCAGAATCTGCCCCTTTCCCGGTGATTCTTACACCACTAAAGTTTGACAATCACTGCTGTAGTTCATGGAACCTTTTAATTCATCTCAGACTCTTTATATCTTCACCCCCTTCCTTATCCAACTTAGATTTATTTAACGCCATAATTTTTTTAATTAGGCAAAAATTCATGTTATCTAATATGTATATTATATGTATTATATATATGTATTATATATATGTATGCAAAAGTTTTTCTACTATACTTGATAAAGTCTTGAGAAAGAACAAAAAAAAGAGAGATGGAGAAATTGGAAAACATAAACTAAATGAAATGAGAACTGAATATGAAATAGAAAAAGTGAAACAAAACTAGATAAAGGTAAAAGATCATCATATAGTCCAGTTTTTAAACTTGACTGCTCTCTAGAAACATATCTGGAGCTTTGGAGCAAAAAAACAATATCTGGGTATTTGTATTTTTCAAAAATTTCTGAGATAATTCTGATACGCATCTGGATTTTAAAAAGTGATTACAGGTTTTTCTATTAAATGACAGTTTTGGTGATATAGAATTCTGTTATTTTTCTGTTGACCAATCATGATACAATGGTATTAAGTGAATAATAGTTATACAATCACAATAATAAAAGATGTTTATCAGTTTTCACAATCAATATCCAGACAAAAAGTAAAAGATAATGACAATTGCAAGCCATGATGGGAACATGATTAACCTAACTATAAAATAATTACATACAGTTTGGGGATCAAACAGAGTGACGTAGTAAGTGGAAGTACATATATGGCACATGTTTTCATCGGTGTCTTTTGGTTGGTGCATTTAATCCATTTACATTCAAGGTAGTTATCGGATATGTTTGATCCTATTACCATTTTCTTAATTGTTTTGGGTTTATTTTCTGTAAGTCTTTTCCTTGTCTTGTTTCCTGCCTAGAGTTCCTTTAGAATTTGTTGTAAAGCTAGTTTGGTGGTGTTGAATTATTTTAACTTTTGCTTGTCTGGAAAACTTTTGATTTCTCCATCAAATCTGAATGAGAGTCTTGCTGGGTACAGTATTCTTGGTTGTAGGTTCTTCTCTTTCATCAGTTAAATGTATCATGCCATTCTCTTCTGGCTTGTAGAGTTTCTGTTGAGAAATCAGCTGATAACCTGATGGAAATTCCTTGTATCTTATTTGTCACTTTTCTCTTGTTGCTTTTAATATTTTATCTTTGTCATAAACATAATGACATTCATTGTTTGTTAAACTTATACTTGTTAGTTGTGTGAAGAAAAGAAGTAAGGCAGGGTAGAGGGGAATAAGAGTATCAGGGAAGCAAATTGGTATTTTAAATAGTGTGGTCAGGTGAGTTTCATGGAGGTGCCATAGGAACAGACTTAGAAGAGGAGAGGGAGAGAGCCTTGTGAAGATCTTAGGGAGGCACACTCCAGGAACAAGAAATAGCCAGTGCAAAGGGTCTACAACAACTGGAAGGTGTCTTTTGTTTGATGAGTACCAAATAACCAAGGGACAGAGTAGTAGGTATTAGGGCAGAGTAGCAGCATAGGACCTCAAGGACTAGAGGAGGGATAATGGTTTGATACCATCTCATCCATGCTTTTTTTTTTAATGAGTAAAATAATGTTTATCAGAGCATGGTTTCTAATTACTCCAAACTGGTAACCAAAAAAAAGACATGAGACTGGATAAGAGCACCAAATAGGTCAGTATTAGAAACTAAAGGGGGCTGATGACTTAGCTCTGGACTTTTTGAAAAATGTGACTGCAAAGTGGAATAACTTGAAAAAGTTCTTCTCGTTTGATGATTCTACTTTCTCACAAACACACTCCTCACTTAACCTCAACCTGCTATAGATTGTACCCATTATTGTTCAAAATTTGCTAATGACCTCCATGTTCTTAAGATTTAAAAGAACCTTCCCAGTTCCATCCAACTTTACCTCTTACTTCCCATGTTGCGGTAGCGGTAAAGAATCCGGCTGTCATTACAGGAGACACAAAAGATGTGGGTTCCATTCCTGAGTCTGGAAGATCCCCTGGAGTAGAAGTGGCAACTCCTTATGGTATTTCGCCTGGAAAATTCCATAGACAGAGGAGCCTGGTGGGCTACAGTCCATGGGGTCGCAGAGAGTTGAACGAAACAGCCTTTGCCACTCTGGCCTTCGTAAACCCGTTTGTTTTTTTTTCTTTTTTGGCTCCTGTGATGCTGCACATTCGTGAATTACATTCTCTCTGTTCCTTCTTCATCTCCTTCACCTTTTCTTAGATATTGATATTCTGTCTTTCTCACTAAACAACATTTACTCTGAATACACTGCTGCTGATGCTGCTGCTCCTAAGTCACTTGAGTCATGTCCGACTCTGCGACCCCATAGACGGCAGCCCACCAGGCTCCCCCGTCCCTGGGATTCTCCAGGCAAAAACACTGGAGTGGGTTGCCATTTCCTTCTCCAATGCATGAAAGTGAAAAGGGAAAGTGAAGTCGCTCAGTCATGTTGGACTCTTAGTGACCCCATGGACTGCAGCCCACCAGGCTCCTCCATCCATGGGATTTTCCAGGCAAGAGTACTGGAGTGGGGTGCCATTGTCTTCTCTGCTGAATACACTAGTGAAGTCGCTCAGTCGTCTCCGACTCTTTGCGACCCCGTGGACTGTAGCCTACCAGGCTCCTCATCCATAAGATTCTCCAGGCAAGAAGACTGGAGTGGGTTACCATTCCTTCTCCAGGGGATCTTCCCAACCCAGGGATCTAACCTGGGTCTTCCGCATTGGAGGCAGACGCTTTAACCTCTGAGCCACCAGGGAAGCCCACTAGTGACTCTTAAATCTGTAACAGCCTAGTCCTGTCTGTTGAATTTCAGATCCATATAGCCAATACCCCATTTGTCATCTCACACAGACATTTTATAGGCAAACCTTATCCAGTCTGGATTGGATAAGCAATATCCAGTATTGTTTGGCAAACAATATCCAATCTCCTCACCTCAGTGAATGGTGCCCCCAATCTACTAACTCAGGTCAGAAAGCCTATTGACACAAGTCATTTTTAACTTTTCTCTCCATCCAAATCCTCTAACTAGTACCCTAAATATCCCTTAAATCTATCACTTTTCTCTGCTCCAGTTGCCCCCATCCCTGCCCCCACCAGCCATACCATTTCTCAACCAGTTCAACTCTTTAACAGTTCTCCCAGCCGTCTTGCTTACAATGTATCCCTGTAGCCCAAACAAGCTTTATACACTGTAAATGTAATCATGTTACATATATTACTTAAGAATATTCCTGTTGCAAGTGATAAGAAAGCCTAACCCATATGGGTTTAAATCAAATGAAAAAGAATTGTCTGTCTCAACTGAACATTTTAGGGGTAGTCTAGTTTTGTTAAAGCTTGATCAAAGACTGTTTGAGCGTCTCCTGTGGAGGTACGGGTTGGCAGTGGTCTACGACAGGGACGGGGGCTCTGGGTGTGGGTATGGCTTAAGTCCTCTTGGAGGAGGTCACCATAAACCCCACTAGAGTCACCAGAACTTACATAGGACTGGGAAATAGACTCTTGGAGGGCACAACAGAACCTTGTGCACCAAGGCCCAAGAGAAAGGAACAGTGACCAGACAGGAGACTTGTCTGTGGGTGTCTGGGTGTCTCTGACAAAGGCGTAGGTTGGTGGTGGCCTGCCGCAGGATTGGGGGCAAGAACTGTAGCAGTAAATGGATGGGATCTTTTGAGGGAGGTCACCATTGTCTTCATTACCTTCACCATAGTTTGGTCCCATGTAAATAGCAGGGAGGGAACACAGCTCCACCCATCAACAGAAAATTGGACTAAAGATTTACTGAGCATGGCCCTGCCCATCAGAAAAGACCCAGTACCCCCCTCAGTCAGTCTATCCCATCAGAAAGCTTTAATAAGCCTCTTATTCTTCTGCATCAGAGGGCAGACAGACTGAAAACCACCATCACAGAAAACTAACCAATCTAATCACATCGACCACAGTTCAGTCAGTTCAGTTCAGTCACTCAATCCTGTCCGACTCTGTGATCCCATGAATCGCTGCACACCAGGCCTCCCTGTCTATCACCAACTCCCGGAGTTTACTCAAACTCATGTCCATCAGGTCCGTGATACCATCCAGCCACCTCATCCTCTGCCGTCCCCTTCTCCTCCTGCCCCCAATCCCTCCTGGCATCAGGGTCTTTTCCAATGAGTCAACTGTTCACATGAGGTGGCCAAGGTATTGGAGTTTCTCAGCTTCAGCATCAGTCCTTCCAATGAATACCTAGCACTGATCTCCTTTAGGATGGACTGGTTGGATCTCCTTGTAGTCCAAGGGACTCTCAAGAGTCTTCTCCAACACCACAGTTCAAAAGTATCAATTCTGCAGCACTCAGCTTTCTTCACAGTCCAAATCTGACATCCATACATGACCACTGGAAAAACCATAGCCTTGACTAGACGGACCTTTGTTGGCAAAGTAATGTCTCTGCTTTTTAATATGCTATCTAGGTTGGTCATAACTTTTCTTCTAAGGAGTAAGCGTCTTTTAATTTCATGGCTGCAATCACCATCTGCAGTGATTTTAGAGCCCCCAAAAATAAAGTCTGACACTGTTTCCATTATTTCCCCATCTATTTGCCATGAAGTGATGGAACCGGATGCCAGGATCTTCGTTTTCAGGATGTTGAACTTTAAGCCAACTTTTTCACTCTCCTCTTTCACTTTCATCAAGAGGCTCTTTAGTTCTTTACTTTCTGCCATAAGGGTGGTGTCATCTGCATATCTGAGGTTACTGATATTTCTCCTGGTAATCTTGATTCCAGCTTGTGCTTCATCCAGCCCAGCATTTCTCATGATGTACTCTGCATAGAAGTTAAATAAGCAGGGTGACAATATACAGCATTGATGTAATCCTTTTCTTATTTGGAACCAATCTGTTGTCTTAACATGTCCAGTTCTAACTGTTGCTTCCTGACCTGCATACAGGTTTCTCAAGAGGCAGGTCAGGTGGTCTGGTATTCCCAT